TCTCGCAAAATGGGATAAAGACTTGTCCTAGTAAGATTAGGGATATTATTAATTACAAAACACCAGAGACGTTACGCGGTTTGCGCTCTTTCCTCGGCCTTGCAGGCTACTATCGTAGATTCGTCAAGGATTATGCCGCCATTGTTAAGCCTTTAACAAAATATTTACGAGGGGAAAATGGTCACGTCGGAACAAATACATCAAAAAAAATAAAAATCACTCTGGATCCCGAAGCTTTGTCTGCATTTGTTAAAATCAAGAAAATCCTTTAATCGGAAGAAGTCCTCTTACAATATCCTGACTATAATCAACCATTTGAATTAACGACCGACGCTTCGTCTAACGCTTTGGGTGCAGTGTTATCCCAACTTAATCGGCCCATAACAATGATTTCGCGTACTCTTTCCGTAACTGAACAAAATTTTGCTACAAATGAACGCGAAATGCTAGCTATAGTTTGGGCTTTAAAAACTCTCCGTCGCTATCTATATGGTATTAAAAACATACAAATTTTTACCGACCATCAACCACTTATATTTTCAATTTCCGAAAATAATCCAAATACTAAAATGAAGAGATGGCGTGCCTTTGTTGAGGAGTTTTCACCAACCTTCCATTATAAGCCAGGAAGGAAAAACATAGTGGCTGATGCCCTTTCTAGGCAATTCATTAATAATCTTAGTGAATTGAGTGAAACAATACATAGCGAACAATCTCTCAGTTACGTAATTAAAACAATGAAGTCCCCAGTAAATCAATTCAAAACCCAGCTGATTTTGTCAAAAGGTGCAACTGTAAACAAACGTACAAAAATTCTTTTTCAAAAATTTTTCCGCCACACAATTAGTTTCGACACTATAGAAAACTTGTTATTATGTTTAAAAGATGTGATAAACCTAAATACGACTAACGCAATACATTGTGACCTCAACATTAGCAAAAATTCAAAATCCTTTAGTATCGTCTTATCCTGGAGTTAAATTTTTACATACGGAACTACTGGTAATAGATTTAACAAACAAAAACGATCAACTAGAAACGGTTGCCACTGAGCATAACCGCGCTCATTGTTGCTTGCAAGAGAATTTCAAGCAAATTTCAAGCGAGTATTACTTTCCCCACATTAAAAAGCTTTTAAAATATATAATTGTTAATTGTAAAATATGCTTGGAGAACAAGTACCAGCGTAAACCAATCAATTTAGCATTAGGAAAAACACAAATTCCCAATTATCCTGGAGAAATTTTGCATCTCGATATTTTTATAACAGGTAAACAACATTTTCTAACATGCATCGATAAGTTTTCAAAATATTGCATTGTCCCGATCTTCATTAGATATTAAGGATGCACTACTCGAAATGCTGTTAATATTCCAAAATACAAAGGTAATAGTTTCAGACAATGAAAAAGCTTTCCAATCCAATTTAATAAAAACCATCTTAAGAGATAATTTTTCAATTACGCAATTTTTTGTCCCAACACTGCATAGTCAAACCAACGGGCAAATCGAAAGGTTTCACTTAACTCTTATGGAGATAGCCCGTTGCATTAAAGAACAGCAACAGCTGAACGAAACTGTAGATCTCCTTCTTTTCGCGACACATAAATACAACCATTCCATACACTCTACAACAAATGCCAGGCCCATTGATATTTTTTATAACTGTTCACCTGAAAAACTATCCGAAGTCCGCGAAAGATTGGTTAAAACACAGGAAAAGACCTTAGAGCGGTATAATCAAAATAAAGGAATGAAAACTTATGAGCCTGGAGAAAAGGTTTTCTTGAAAAGAAACAAAAGATTGGAAAATAAATTTAGTAGAATTTTTATTGAAAAAACGATCGAAGGAGATTTAGGTACTACGGTTTTAATAGACGGAAAAAAAGTCCATAAAAGTAATCTCAGATGAGTATTTCAATTTTCCTTATATGTCTAACAGTAACATAAATTAACACACATGCAAATAAAGTCACAAGAACAATTAATAAATTTTTTTTCCTTTTCATCAATTTCAAATATTTACAACAACAACAATAAATAAAATCTGTAATAAATTAAGATAACTCTTTATCCTAAGTTTTTCGAGTTACATAAAAAAGAAACAAAAACCAAAATGTATTATTGTATGTTAAGTATTCAAACTGTAAAGCAATCTAAAATGTCATTGACACAAATTATAAATTATTTTTTATTACATTCGAAAATTTACACATATAAACCTTAAGTAGAAATTGTAATAAATTAACGTTTGTACTAAGCCATTCGAATTACACATAGATTTAAAATTAATTATTATATTGTTAAAATATTTAAATTGTAAAACCATGTAAATTATGCTCAATCATGCTAAACAAGCCGCCAAAGTTGCAAACAAATCAAAATCAAAAGTTGCCGAACTTAAAAGTAAATAGACTTCCGCAACAGGGACGTTCCGGACTTAACAAGGAGGGTAGTTATGGTGATATGCGAAATTCTGAAATTCTCTTTTTACTATGAGTGGCTTATTGGTTGGAGTATTATCAGTGAGTTACGCAGCAACAACACTGTGGTGTAACATTGAGTCACTAACCGATTACCTCTCCCACTGGCGTCAACCGTAATGCGGACTTTAGGAAATCGGTTCACTCATTAACATTGAAACTGAGCTTGATGAGCATGATATAAAAAAAGCAAAGAGCAGAATAAATTAGACGGCGAACGGAAGAAGTCGTGCAAACAATTAATTAGTAATATCATTAACTTTAACTTATACTAGTGCTGCAAGTAAGTATGAATATATAAAATATTTATGTGTTATAGCAGTCAGTAATCTGATGTGCAAAATTTTAAAACAACTTATTCTTTCAATGTGTTTGGTGCATCAACTAGCACCAGCATAGTTGTTACTAGGCAACCAATGGTTGTATAATGCGTGACAACCGGTTAATTATGATTGGCATAGGCATAGGATATAGTAGTTAGTCGACATTTTTGATGTATTATGTAGTTTTATTATTCCTGGTTATATACCTATAATATACAGAAATGACTAAATCAAGAAAATTAGCTTAAACAGTCCTTCTCCGAAATATAAGCCCATGTTTGCTTTCTCTATTTTTTACTACAGTTACATCAGTAGCCATACGCAATATAAGATCATATATTAGATGTAGCAAAAAGAAATTCATTATTTTTGCATGAAATTGAGTGCTTAAATTATTACTTACCGTATCCAGCTTTATTCAAATGGTTTCAAACGGTTTTTTGTGCAATGCTTAGGTCCTGCACAATTGTAATCGGTGTTTGGACTCGCCGATTTCCATTATTTTATCGATTTTTTCGAAAATTGGTCTTCCAGAGAGTTGTGTATTTTTGACATGGAAATTACCGGAACGGATACGACGAAACCAAAATTGTGTACAATTGGCTGTTACAGTATCAGGACCATAAACTCTATTCACATTTTCAGCCACCCTGCTTACGTTTTCGCCATTATTGGAAAAATAATTTCTTTTTACTACACAAATATTTGGGCTAGCAAATACAATTATATAGCAGCCGTCTTACATAATAGGTGTAAAAACCTTGCTGCTCACATAAGATAGGAAAGGACGCACCGAATAATTAAAGGATTTCTTTAATTGCGATGATGCTATATCAAAAATATATTTTTGCTTAAACTAGATTTTTCATCAGAATACAAGTAGTTCGGAATACAAAAGCATTAGCAAATATTTTTTTATTAGAAAACTTAAAGTTTTTACCTAAGTCTTTTGAGATGTGGTGTTGGGCATAAGAGCTGTTTTTTTTAAATTATTATGGGAAAAACTTAATTCGAAATTGAAATCGAATTATGCGAAATACCTTAGCTGTAATTAAGGGTTTTATTAACTTGATCAGAAATAATCCGAATTTAAATAATATTACAAAACTGGCCAAATATTATTAGTGCTTGAGTTGCAACATAACAACATAAAAATTTTCTTTGTAGAAATAGATACTTCATAACTCATAGCCCATTGTGTGCGTATGTATGTACATTGGCCTGAACTGCTCTCTTGAATTTATGACTAACGGCATTTTACGCAATCACTTCATTCAACGAGACACATTGATACAAAAGGCGCAGGAAACGGAAATAATACACAAACGAATCAAAATAAAATAATATTAGCAGAAGCTGATGCTGGCAACAATAACAAGAAGCAAATTTACAAACTTCTGGTGCTCTTTGGCAACATTTCTGCGTCCTTCGTATGTCACATATCTCTTCATCAATGTCGGTACGCGCTTTATCTGAGCATTTGAGTTGTAAGAATTTCATGCATGCATATATTCAAAAATAAATTATTCGCAGCTTATCTGTGTCATGCGGGAGACGCAGCCTTCGATAACCACAACTTAAATGAAAGGAAAAAGAATGAAAACCAGAAAAATATGTAAAATTTTGCTCCTTTTAAATTGGGGACAAAAGAACTGTATTTTCTGCGTGACCGTAGTCAGTTAAGCGTGACAAGGATATGTTTGATTTCCCACATATTTTCTTTTTTTTATCATCTCTATTTGATTGTCTGACTGTGTCCACATAAGGTCCCTTAACTTTTAGTTTTTCGCTTAGATTTATTTATTTATTTTTCATATTTGAGTAAGCGGCATTTTCTTCATTCGTGTGTTAAGGGTTTGAGCACACATATTTATTTTTAAATTCGAATCTCAAAATAACTTCACCAAGTGATTAAGCACATTAGTAAATGCCCAGAGGTAAAGATTGGTTGTTTTATTTTTAAAAAAGTTGAATAAAAGGGTAAATAATGAATACAAATCAGCTCATATTCAAGCGATTTGAATCGAGATTTCTTTAATAACACAATAAAAAATACGAGTACAGCTTTGTATTTTTTAGTTCGGAGCAATATTAAATTATGACAATTGATTTTAACCCCTATTCAGTTGCACTTCAAATGTTGAGCACTACCAATTATAATAATATCTACAAAATTTCACTCCATTTCTTGCAGATGAAACACTGAGCGAACACGAAGGTAAATCGGTGGTGATACCCTGTCCGGTCAACAAAGCCAAATGCGGTGATCTGCACTCGATAAATTGGTTTAAGGGCGACGATCGCATTGCGGCGATGCTATTGGGGGACAGCAATGTGACGAGTGTATCAGACGAGTATGCGAACAGGTAATGTGAAATTAGTATCAAAATAATATATGTAATACATATAATATTTAAAAGCAACTAACAAAAAGATTTAAGTGGTTTTTGGTTTTACTCGGTTAATCATCATTTAAGGTGAGAAAATCTATTTACAAGTGTTCATGGCACTAATATCTCTTAGCCATTCTGAAAAGGTATAAAGTTGGTATTCTGAAAAGGTATAAAGTATAATCAGTGCCCAAAAATAAGAAAAGCTCTTTATAAAAACTTTAAGAAGTTATCATTATAGGTTTTAACTCTACAAATACAAATATTATTACTGCTGTGAAAAAATCTTGTGAAATTCTAGAAGCCGTAAAACGGAGCAGATGATCATATAATATAATACGTATCCTTAAACTTTAAAAACATCTTTTTAATTTTTGCTTAATATGAGTTATAAATAGGATGCATCATCTATTTTTTATTGAATAATTTTTCGATCGATTCGAACGAAATCCATACATTTGATACAGACGTTTGCCTCACTAGTTTTTCAATCGTTTGCTGTACAATTAACAATACAACAAGAGCCTACTGTAGTCACATCTGAATGTCTTGGTGGTCAGTTAGGCTCAGTGTAAGCCATCCAAGCAACCTGAAAACAAACTTAAATCATCATGACACAAAGTGACAATACTTTCTCTCTTATTAAGAGACTTTCAGCGAACTGCATTCGCATTCTTTATTACGCCTATTTGTCTTCTATAATTACCACAAAACAATAAAAAACGTTAACTTCGGTTGCACCGAAGCTATAATACTAAAAAATTCCTTACAAGAACTTGATTTTGATCGGTCAGTTTGTATGGCAGCTGTATGATATTGTGACTCGATATGAAAAAGGAAAGTGGTTGCACCATTTTCTTAGCCAATAATACATGCCAAATTTCTTGAAGGAAGATTTTATTTTCTTATTTAATAATAATAAGTAGAAATATTTTGCAGTTTTGTAATATTTTCCTTTTTTGCAAAAGTTTGATGCGCATATAATTATTTGTATAAGGTATCACTTCAAACAAAAATACTTTCCAGACAAATGAGCAGCTCCGTGGGGAGAAAAGGACATGTGCAAAATTGCAGATCGATATCTCAAAAACTCAGGGACTTCGATTCAGCTGATCACGGTTTATGGTGTCATGGTACATTTCTTTCTGGGTGACCTCGTGGCAAACTTAATATATTAAAAAGAGGCATACTTTGGGCGAATTACTCTTGCACTGCAAAATCTTATAGAATAAAATGTGTTCCTCTTTGACTTCTTTTAGGCAACTTATAATATTTGAATGACTTTATTTGTCTTGGACTGAAATCTATATAAACATTTTCATGACATTAAAAATATTTACTTTTCTTTTTGTAGAGTCACAGTCGAGCAAAATCCATTTAGATTAGTAATAAAAGACCTAAAAATAGCTGATGAGGATATCTATCTTTGTGATACAACATTTCTTATACCAATCGAAACGTGTGATAATTTCAACGGTTATCGTGTCGAGTTGAATGTCTTAGGTAAGTTAAATAATTTCCACTCTTCCAAACTTTTTTCGTCATTTGTATTGTTCATAATATTATATTTAACTACCTATATTGTATAAATTTATTTCATGAAAAATCTTAGTTTTTTGCACTGATTGCATTTCGCATGTCCAAAAATTTTGTTTCTTTTTAATTAAGTTGCGAAATTTGATGATTCTCTCATGCAACATACTTGTACTTTATGCTTTATTTAATATATTTTAACTTGTTATATATTATTTTTTGTCATTTTTTCTCTTATCTGTTTTTATTTGCATATATATTAATAAAGCAATGATATTGCCACGTCCATTAAAAATATTAAACATTTGTAAAATATTTGTAATTTTTCTCGCATGTATTTTGCACTTTGCATGGCAACTGCTGTATGAGTTATTGATTTTTGCATAGAGTTGTAATTAGATGTAGGATTACCGTTCTTTGTTATACCCTACTTAAACTAACACACATGCGATATGAAAAAATGCTCGGTTTTTCATATTTTTATAGTAATTTGCACATTAACGAAGTAAACCCTATTTTCTAAAACAAAGATTAATATTGTTTAATGATTTAAACTAAATGTCATATGTTTTGATAAATGTAACCCTGAAACATAGGTATAAGATATAGTTGCTATAAACTTTACAGTGTAGCGAATCGAACAAACTGTGCAAACGGACCTACAGCGTTTGCGTTGCAACCATGCGTTAGCATATCCTCCGACGAATGCGCAAATGGTTTCGTTTCTCACTTTAATGAAGATATGCCTTCTTTTGCGACAAAAAATTTTAGTACCTTACGATTTATAATATAAAAACGTTGATAATTTAATTCATGTTTTATCATTCATGTTTGAATTATATATGACTATAATTTGTCATTCGATTAATGGCTCGTCAATGGGACAATTGGCATAAAGTCTGTAAAAAAAGTTTGGTAACATTAAAGAAAGCAGTTTAATCATATAAATGAGGTATCCGTGTATTCTCTTGCATCGTTGTACCATACTTTCTTGTTGTAAAATTTTTGACAATAGAGCAGGCATCAAAATAAAGAGAACAGAGAAATGGCGCGTATACAAGACTGAATAACAGATTCATCAACGCTTTTCGTAAAAGCTCGTAAGACTGATTATTTCAGCGAGAGAGATGCCACGCTATATTAAATTCAGTCAGTATATAATGCTTCTGTTGAACGATCTCAATTTAATATACTCAATTAGCAAAAAGGGACTTGTGCCAATCTACCTTAAAAATAGTCCAATCAACAAAGTATTTCCCTTGATTTTAATTAATGGTACAGTTTACTGTTATTTCGCCTATCAGAGGCAAATTTTTTACGTTTTGAATCCCATTGCCGAAAAAACTGTAAAATTTTGCAATGAACATTTAAAAAACCCGCCTTTTTTGTGCAATTATTATACACACTCCATCATTTGTCTTAACTCCAAAAAAAAACTTCGGTGTTTGTCAAAGGAACCTCACAAAAACATAAATTAATGAAAAATGCTCAACGCGAGTGCTCATTTTGGCTCAAGAGGCAACCCAATAATTCGTTCATTTATTTTATTCTGCGCGCAGTTATTACCTACTAACGCAATTAAAATGGTTTTATGCTTTGTTATATTCTCCAATAATGTGCGTAACACAAAAACTTATCAAATTTGATTGTGATCACTGCGTTACATACATTTTTAATATTTTAGCACAATCTTCATGGCTCAATAAAACTAGTGAATGCTCTTTCATTGCCGATTTTTTGTTACTATACATACATCCTTCACTAACTCTCTGTCCGCTTTTCATGCGCCTTAAATTTATTAATCATAAAACTTTGAATGCAATTTTATTTTTTAAATAATATTTTTTTGTATTTCATAATTCATTAAACAAAAACAAAATATCATGCGATTTTTTAACTGATTGTACTTTTGATAAACCCCATTCCCACCGCTCTCTTCTACTACTACTCGTACTCGTTCTACTACTACTACTACAAAAACCAAATCAAAACCGCTCGTCAACATCATCATCATGGATTTGTATATGCAAAATGCAAATGTAATGTTTTATATATACGCAAAATAAATTATATATACATATATGCCTGTATCATACTAAATAATCAAAAACAAAAAAATAATACAACAAATAAAAAAACATGCGCCATTAACACCCGCCCAACCAAATTAAATCGAATCAAATCAATGAATGTCAAATTGAAATGTGTGCACACAACATAACCTTAAAATCGTTTACTTTGTGATTTTCCTTTACATTTGATAATGTTACTGCTAAAAACTCACACGAAAAATTAAATCAATATGCAAATTAACCGTTTTTTCAAAAACAAATACGTAGAAAATATTGGTAAATTACTAAACAAAAATAATTTTGATAAAATTCACAATTTTTTATATAGTTCAAATGGAATAACTAGTTTATTGTTTATTGTTTAGTTGTTTTTGTTTCGTTCCATTTTCATTTCATTTGGCACTTGCAGTTTCGTTTTATGCTTCCGATTTTGACTTTTCAATTTGATTTGAGAGAGAATTATAAATATTATTTAAAATTATTCAAGTTTTAGTACAAAAGCTATTTTGTTTAAAATATTTATTAATTTAAAAAATGTATGTCATTTAAAAAGCTATTTTGCTTTAAAAAACAATGTTATTCATTTCTTATATTTTATAAATCAAATTCCGTAAGATTTACTCAATCATTAATTTTGCCTCTACAAACTCACGAATTTTTCTTTAATGTATCAACACAATAAATGAACTACTACTACAACAACAACTACCGCAAATATCAAACCTTAAAACACTTGCTGTATTGTCAACGCAACGACAAACACAACACCACTACATTCATATGAATGTATCTGTCTTACTCCAACTTACAACACACACACAACCTGATAACCGTTAAACTTTGTATTTGTAACATCTACACAACACCCAAACGACGAATGCATCACCTACACACACATCCACACACACGCATCCATATGAACACCCAACACCGTGGCGATTGGCGTAATTTGTGTATACGACTATTTGGTTGTTGTTGTTGACTGAGCAGTGCCACCAACGGAGGTTGTAATTCTGGATGAAAAAGGTGATTGCATCGAGAATGGTTCCATCATTGGACCCATGCAGGAACGTCAAACATTGAAAGTGTCATGTGTCGTACAGAATACACGACCGCAACCACAGGTCGGCTGGTGGCGAGGAAATAAGCGACTATTGACGCGTAAGTACTTTAACATTTTTACACTACTTTATTTTTATAAACGCTAACAATTAACAATATACTGAGAATACATAAAGTTGGTTCTAATGTTCAGGGACTTAAGCAAATATGTAAATAGAAGGGCTTCGTATAACATAATTTCTAATTCTTGTAGAAAACTGTAGGTATTTTATGTTAACTAATGTATGTTAGTTATGTAGTCGGAAGTGAAATTTCTTCTTTTACAACCGCAACCAAAGTTAACGTTTTTTTTGTTTTTTGTTTTTATTGCTTTTAGTTTCAGTTGCAAAATCTCACTTTTTTAAGATTTTCAAACCGCGGGTGCCCTACCGTAATGTGATTCGTTGTGCCAAATTTGAGCTCAGTTTCTTAATTTACGGCTTAGTTATGGCACTTCATACGTTTTCGATGAAGGGCGTTTTGTGGGCGTCCTTACAATTTTCGAAGGAACATGTATACCAAGTTTTACCAAGATATCTTAATTTTTACTCAAGCTATCGCTTGCACAGACGGACCGACGGACAGACAGACAGACAGTCTATAGATGATCCTATATCTAACGTGATTATTATTAGGTGATACAAACAACTGTTAGGCGAACAAAACTATTATACTACTCAAAGAGTATAAAAATTTAAAACGCAGCTCTATTTGAGTTGATTATAAATCAGACACGATGCACATTCAAATTTATATTATTTTTCTATGTCTCTGTACGTGTATTTGTTTTTGGGACTTTTATGTGCTGCACCAACTTGTGGTGGTGTAGGTCAACCACTTGAGCTGACACTTAAGGCTAATTTCAGTCAAAAGTCCTGCTGAAACATTACGCAGGACAGAAATTTACGACCAAACACGCCCCGCATAAACCCAGGAAACTTCGGTGGCAGACTTAACACTTTGAATATACAGTTTGCTTCACACATTTCTACTTTACTTATTGCACCGACACATGCGGCTTCATTCGAGCAAGACGAATGCGTGTCTGCTATGAAATTTATTGGCGAACGAAAAAAAATGGGTGAGCGCATAAAAAACTTGTGGATTCAAGCAGCGTCTCATCAGACAAGGCTCAGTAGAGGTTGGCATGCAGAGAGGTGCAAAGAGAAAAAAAACGAAATAAAAGCTTGCCAGAGTGAAAGGATCGCACTAAGTCCACTTTTAAAGATGAACAGTGGTGCGCACTAGGTATGAACAACCGTTAAAAGGCATCAAATGCTCAGCAATAGTTCACACACATTCTGTTACGGTCGAGTGTTGTTGTAAAATCACTGAAAATGTTGCTAATAAAATTTTTTTTATTGGCATGCATAAAAAAGCAATCGCATTAAATTTCGTAGCTTACTCGCTGGCGTAACATAAAAATCGCGCTTACTCTTCTTGGATGTCCTTTTATGCTCCCTTCGCACTGCTGGTAACCTTCTTAACGATGATTGTGCCACCAAATTAATTGGTTGTTTTAGGAAGTAAGCAAAGATAGTAAAATAGAAAGAACCTCTAAATGGAAGGTGCAAAGAATCCGAACAAAAGTGTAATGCAAAGCACGTTAGCCACCGCTTGACCTACATACACTCTACAACACTCAGCCAGATCCTTCTGTTCGGTATACTCGTATATACTTATAGCAAAAATTAATGCGAAGAGACAAGCCATTACTTAAACGGAATTCCGGACAAAATTTTTACGAAGCAAAAACAAAAAACCTGATCAAAAGCAAATTCCATTCGAGCGTATAACTTAGCATGCTTCTTGGTGCAATTTCTTGCATAAAACGAGCTTCTTCTTAAATCTCCTACACTTTTTATATCTTTGCGAAGTTTCTGATTTCGCTAACAATTTCCGGCGAGTTATATGTTTTTGTCGAAAGACAACCACTCTACCTATATTTTTTTCAACGACACAAATCTCAAAAGATATTCATTATTTTCTGTTGGCCATTTACTCAATTTAGGGGTGTGCTTCGCATTTATACATTTATCAGCGCTTTCACAAAGTATAATCTCTTTTTGCTCACTTTTTAACCGTTATCTAAATTCGTCCTTTTCTACGTGCGACCTTTTAAGTGATTTGCTCAATTAGATTTTAATCCGTTCATACATCCGTCTTAATTGTTGTTGCTGTAGTTAAAGTGTCTTGTATACGTCACTTTGACGCGAGTGTTAATGAAGGCAGCTGCAAGAGTTGGAAAATAGGAGAAGTGTAATAGAAAAGTTACTTAAGTTGATAAAAGGTTTGATTGCAGTATTTATTTATAATATCTGTTTTCGGCCTGAAAACTTTCAGAACAATATTCAGAAACATTCTTCAGTGGGATTTCTAAAAAAACGAAATTGGCCTGACCTCGAAACCTTAGAGGAAGGCGTTTTATGATCTAGGCGAGCATAATTTTCAGTAGATACAAATCCACTCTTTCGAATCAAATCAGTGTTCAATTCAGGAAGTGAAACTTCGTGTGTAACTCGAGTTAGACAATTTAGTTTTTTAAAAAACGTTACTCAGTTAGATTAAATTATAACTACTATCTCTTAAAAGATATATCTGGTCTCTCTGATTATCTAACCCCAATTCTTTTATTTTTCGAATTAACTTCATTCCAAATGACTTTCAGCGAATACATCTGTACTCTTTCGAATCCAACCAAATATTTAAATATCATCCTTTGTTTCAGCCTTTAAAGTTTGAAATATTCACTAATGTTTTTTATTCTAAAATCCCTCTGAAGGTTTTATAAGAAAGAAGAACTTACTTCTTCTGAGAAGGTGCCTCGTGAGAATGTGTTTCCATACGCTACTCTATTTAGTTTTCATTTAAAATCAGTTACAACCATCATGACCTCTTTGTTTCACTAATAGATAAGCTAGTAGCTCCGACCCCAACTGGTATTTGAAAATATAAAATGCTTCCTTTATTTCGGAATCATAAGCCTGATATAATTTCACGTATCACAAGTGTCTGGGTTGACAGAGATAGCTATAGGAAGTGCTATTATTAATAAATGTCAATATAGCATCTTAAGATAACATCAAATTTTCCGACGTTTTCAACCATATCGGATCAGCCTATTTCCAGTTAATGCTATTTTATATAAATTTCTTATTTATTCTTCATAGATTCCGCTTCCTATGTTGAGACGGATGGTCTGTTCACTGCCACGCTGGAGTTGAATTTGGAGTTGTCACGTGATGATCTGGCGAGAGATATTGAATGTCGTGTCGAATCTGCAGCACTGCCAAAAAAGCTCATCAATAAGTTTCGTGTCGATTTACAAGGTAATTACAGAAAAAATATTGCCCTCACCGCCATGTTAAGTTTTTTAGAAATATTTGTTAGAAAAACTATTTTATAAAACTTTTTAATGGGAAAATTTGTGTACATTTATTAGTATTTTTAGCAGGGTTGCTTGGAAATTTATCATTAATTATTAAAATGTAACATTTTCGTAAAATGTAATTTTCGTAATCGATAAGTAAAAGGTGCGTTCCAAAGTAAACAGGAATTTTAAAAAAAAGACAGAACAAATGGTTTTATTGGCAAAATCAATTATCCAAAAGCATGTCGAACGAGTGTTTTAACTCGTTGCCCGGTATGGCCGCCAGTATGCCGGTGCAAGCCTTTTTCTTTGTTCGAAGCTCATTTTCGCACCGATGACAAAAACATACTGACACTTAAAACTCAATAACTTCACTTCCAATACATGAAATGTCATGAAATTTTTACTGGTAGTCGGTAAAGGATAGCAGATTCTAACGCACTGGTCGACATATAGATGGTGCTAGAGTTTACTTTGTTACTTTTTTACTGTTTACTTTGGAACGCACCTTGTATACATGTATTGAAATACTTGAAATTATAACTTAATGAAGTTAAATACCTAAGAATAATAAGGTACGGTTTACATAGAGACATACATAAATATTCCGACATCCTGTGTAATTGTGTAAGTGTAAGAGCAAAATTAATGAACGTCACATTTAAGAGACCGAGGGTCACTTAATTAAGCACTTGAGCCGGAGGAAAAATAAAACTCGCGCACACTACAATATGCAAAACTACTTAATTATAACAAAAAATGTGACTATATCCGTCTAAGTAAATAAAAAAGTTTTAAAAATGGCGCGAGGAAATTAGAGCTATAGCATTAAATACTTAAGTGTAATTGGACAAAGGCAAAATAGTAAAAATAACAAAATAAAACTAAGCTGGCAGTAAAATTGATTGATGGCTTCTCTCATTGTATGGAATTGAATGGAACTGACAGTGGGCGCGGGTGTGAACAACATGCCACAGGAAGCCACTGTCAACGTTCTATGCTGGGCATTACACTCACCTTCGTCCTTTCCCAGTATTCGCACATGCTTCTGGCGCTATTTGAAAAGGGTACCTAAAAGTTAGATGCCATCTAAATTGCTGTTATTAATTATGTATGTACAAAAACAATACCGATGCAATAAAAAAGGAAATGGAAGTTATTTGTGCGCTAAAAGCCCTGTATCAAGTGTGGTGTGGGTGTGGTGAATGCTTACGGTGACACAATGGCATAATTGCCAACAATGCCGAGCGTTTATTTATCAATTTTTCATTGCTACGTGGCCGTTTTTCACCTGGCTGACTATTCTCTAATGCAATTTTAGAATTCCTTAGTTCATGCGCTTTATTGATCCTGATTTACTTATTGTTCCTTTTTATGTCATTTGCAGTGCGTCCGACGAGTATATCCATCAATGGTGTGGAACATCATACGGTGCAGGGCAGCAAAGTGGTGCTGACATGTGATGTAAGTGTTGTAGTTTGTATTTTTATTTTTTTTGAGGAACTAAACACTAAGATATGTAAAGAAAGTTATTCTGTTCTAGGAACTTCTTTTCAACGGAATTACTAACCCTCACATCATCTTTGAATAAACAAATAAAATTTGATCATACTTGATAATTTCTTCTAATATATATATGCGGACATTCACACCCACAAATAGGCAGCTTTTTCTACAATTCGGTTTAAAAACAGTGTATTTTTATTGAAATTATATAAGAACTAATATTAGGCAATTCACAAGCTTCGTCTTATGTCTTATGTCGTATTTCAATAGCTTAAAAAGTACGACAGTTGTGTGCACCCCTTATTTGTTGTATGTCATATTATGTAATATTTCTACACTTCACCAGCTGGTAATAAAAAATTAAGAATACAAAAATGCCACGGAAAAGTGACAAAAATAAAATTAAAGCTTCTTTATGTTGAAACAGCGGCATTTTGGTTCACATTGCAACCACAGAAACAACAAAATATTTTTATATTTTATTTTTCTTTAACTTAATTTACCTGGATATCGTGGCTTCCTTCCATATTATTAAAAAAATTGATGAAATTTATTTAATTTAATAATTTTAGACACTTAAACGTCAACAATTAAAAAAGTAAACAGATACAGCTAATAGAATAGCACACTCAAAAAACATACCTCGCCGTGTTGTATTTGTCGTATTTCAATTTTGTTATGGGAAACAACAACAGTGTTGATATGACAGTCATAAAAAAATAAGACAATACGACGATATGACATAATATGACACCTTGTGAATACCCTATATATGTAATAGTACATCGTAATTGAACCCTATAGAATTTGTTTTGGACCCTATGAAATTTACATTGAACCGAAAAATTGGAATTTAATATATAAGATGTACATATTTGAAGATTATCAAAGAATGAAGTAATTTCTTACAAGATAAACGACTAGGAGAACCCAATTTGGAAATCACATTTGAAGGTCAAGAAAGGATAAATCAATGCCTTACAAGATGGCCGACTGGAAGAACCTAACCGAAAAATTTTGATAACTCAATGCATTCGTTTTTTCCGTACTAACTCGCCTGTATTCTCCAACATTTTCCACGAACAGTCGAAATATATGTTACAGTCCCTTTAATTATCCAGTTAGAAATTGCTCCTTATTTAACCTTTTGACAAGCAATAACAATCGAGATAATTTTCAAAATAACACAGAAGGAAAATTTTACAATAAAGAGTGTGAAATTATGCACACTAAGCAGTTATACGGGCATGTGAGTTTTTAAAAAAATACCGATATGACTTCAAATCCGACGCAATATTTTTGAAGATCTATAACGTTCTCTAAAATTCTTTGGCGTTTTACTTACATACCATTCTCAACTTCAGATGTTACATATTAAATTATTTTACTGTATTAAATCGAAATCTACTTTATCCCACATTCAATTTCCTAAAAATATATTTTAACCTAGCCTAAAAAAATTGGAAATTTTTAAACATATATATGAATTAGTATTTTTGTTCAGATTATTTTTAATTGGCTTAAGTTAAGATTATTTTCGTTTAAATATTAGTGTTATTAATTTGGGCTGTTGAAATTATTTAAGTGCTTTAGAGAAATTTGAGAACTCTGCGATCTAAATAACCGCTAAATTCGAGTTAATATTTACTATATCTCTTCTGAGAAATTTTACATCTATTGCCTTAAATATTGTTGTTGGGCTTCACTTTTTAATCACTAACCGAGCCCTTCCTAAAAACGCTTCCCTACATGCAAGCTGACAAATAGCTTGCTCGTAACTACTACCTATATATGCATATATGGTATGTATGGACATGGTGTAAGAGCACACCATGCCGCACGAGTTCAAAAGCCGTGGGGTAATTGCCAATAATTAACTGTCAATTATTACTTTGATTTTTCTTCATGAAAATTTTAACAAGCATAAATGAAAATGTCGGAGTGAGCGTATAACGCTACGTAAAATTACTGAGGATGTATACACATGTACATATGTATGTATAGCTATTAATATATGTCAGTGTATCGACAAATTAATACTTTAATAGAATTAACAACGTTTAAACTTTTTACAATAAAGCTTTTGCAAACACTTACTAACAGTTCTAAGCTCTATGGCAAGGTAGTGATTTTTGAATAGCAAAATTGATATTACTTAGTGTTTGAAGGGTGGTAAAAATGGATTAGTAATAGATGTCTTCGATCCGCCAAACATTAGAGAGTATTCAAGCGAATAACCAATTTAAGCCATCCAAGCAGACAGAAATTACTGTGTAACCTTTTCGTCTGGGTTGGCTAAGCGTTGTCTTTTTTTGATGAAGAAATTCTTCTTTCCACGTTTAATAACATTTTGTAAACCCTTGACTTAGAGCAGCGACTTTAGTCTTTCAACTTTCAACTTATGTCTTTCAATGAAATTTTATTCTGAATCAAAACTTAAATTACTTAAATAAAAAAAATTCAAAGTCAGGTATGACAATTATATCATATTTGAGCCAATCACAGAAGACAAAACTTGTTTAATATCTGTAAAACGAAAAGTTTATACAATTTTAATGAGGCAACTGCATACTCTCATCTATCGAAGCTTTCTTCCGATAGTAGAGCAGCGATATTAGCCTTGAGTTCGCTGACTGTGTATTTCATGAATACACTATTTTGGATGTCTGTCACAGCGGTATTGCAGGAAACTGTAAGACTAATGAGCTTTCTAAAACAGTTCTTTAGTCTCAATAACCTGAAATGGAAATGGGTAGAAGTTGCGTTGGCTTTTTGTGATTCACTACTGAACTATTGGGCCTTAGATCAGCTCAAGCGTCAACTATCAGTAGATATGCAGTCGCAAGGTCCTTCTGGCCTAATTTAATTAGTAAGAGCGCTAGGGAACTCTTCGCTTTAAGCAAGGTCACCTCTCAATGATTGTAGGAGTTCTAATTGGACACTGTTCGATCAGGATTCATGCAGTATGTACATTTTACCAGATTGAACATCTTACTTAATGCCAGCTGCATTAGTTGTTTGGAAGAAGAAGAGATAGAATCATCTCAACACGTCCTCGAAAGTCCCGCTTTTGCCAGATCAAGTCAAAAACACCTTGGATCTCATACATTTAGATATCGAGGTGAAATAGCAGAAATAGAAATAAAACACCTAAGCAGATTGGTGAAAGGTTCATAGCGTTTTTTCCGATAGATAGCTAATATCCAACTACAGTAGTTCACAAAGGGTTGTACATAACAGTCTAAGTGCGATCCATAGCATGTAGATCATACGAGCGGACCCACTCATTCACTTACATTTATGTCAATAGCCAAAAATAAGAGTTAGGTGCCAGCTCTAGCAGCTTACTGCATGTCACTTTGGCTCCTTTCGTGTAAATTATTTAGAGTGGTGGAAATATTAAGAAAAAAACTGAATGAAAATAATGGAATGGAAGTAAAGTAACACATCAAACAACCTTGAAGAAACCAAGTAGAAAAAATATTTCAGTTCCACCCTGTTTAACTGATAGCCACGTAAAATGATGCACGAATGCATCAAAGTAAAAATGAACACATGTATATCATTCAATACATACCTGTATGTCAAAAAGTCTACTCTTTTCATGTACACATGGCCGTATATTCCCTTCGCACTCACGCTCACACATACACATAAATAACGGCATAATAGTTATTTGCTCCATAAATGTGTATTGTTCCCTGGCTTTCGTGTCAAGTTATATGCGACAAATTGCTATTTATTGTAATTTTAATGGCTTTTTGTAAAATTCGTTACAACACGTGGCATTTTGCTTTCATACGGTTATTTAGATCAGTGAATAATAGGCGCTTAATTGATAGTTTATTGTTCTTGGCTCAGCTTCTACAACGAAAAATTTAATTATTCAAAATAAGTCAAAGGCAAATGCTCTTGTGCGTGTGTATTGGCGTTGAAAATTGTGTTAATTGATTTTACTTTCAATCAGTGGTAATCAATTTGCAGCCAATGGCACAAGGACAAGTTATCATTTTTGCTGTGAACTTAATTATTGTAGAATTTCTGAAGAAATATGTGCTTATTTTCTCTGTAAGTTATAGAAGGAAAATGCTGCATAATTGATACCGACTTACTTTGGTAAGTTTGTTCAGTGATATTTCACACATGAATCTCCTTCAAAAGAGTTTAATTTTAAAGATAATTGTATATAAATTTAGATATATTCCGTCTTTTGTGAGTATAAGGTTAGGTTACAAGTTATTTTTGCTCAAATAATTTAAGAAGCTGAAACTGGATATAGATATACCGAAACCATACCGATCTGATCCAAATGTTTATACATAAAAAATCACGAAACTAATTTTAGTAGTTATTGTTGTTGCCAAAGTGGCATAAAATATTCCGCTGTCGATCAATAAAATACTGCTCTCGTGTTTTAGTGATTAGCAATATCAAAACTTCCACTGTGTTGCTGATATGCCAGTAGGCTAGATTTAGTTTCCCGAAGGGTCCAAATCCTAGAGAAGAAAATCGCTAGTTGACAGATAATAACTACTAAAAAGACCTTTCATGATGATACGACTGAATATTTAGCCTGCATCTAGCCACTATCCAGTGACATAATATAGTCTAAATTTTATTTCAACTGCCATTGAATAAAAATGCTAATCTTTTGTTTTATATGTACGCATTTCGGGCAATATTTTTCATAACTCGGCGAGATATCGTTAAGTTATCGGGCATTACATTTTAAATGAAAAGGTGTTTCAATCAACATATTTCAAATAAGTTCACTAAGTATTCAAATGGTACACAAATTCAACACACTTATTAGTGTTCAAAATTTATTTACCTTTTGATAATATGAAAAACCAATTGTAATGTTTAACCTCTAACACACTTGGATTAATATAATATTATAATGTTTAATTTTAATGAAGCAAGGCATTGGTGGTGACCAGTTCACAATTTTTAATCCCCTCCGGGCCGCTCTTTGAATATTTGTGGTATAAATTCGGTGACAAATAAATTAACGTAAAGAACTTCATGAGAACATCAGAATTGTCTGGCAGATTTGGCATTAGCTAATTAGAATATCTTTGAAATCTTGTTATATAATGCTTTTACTTTATTTTAGGGCTATGAAACCATACTAAATTATTATACTACCGACGGGAGACACTTTGGTATTATATAAAGCCGAGCAACGCCTATTATTTCCGTTTATGACGTGACGAACCAATAAATTTTCCTATCAAATGTACTTCAAAAATAATAAGGGGAGACAACTGTCGTAATATCTATTTTAATAGTTCATTAATTAGACTTCTAGTCTGACCCGAGTGTCGTGAGATACAATGCTATCAAACTGTCACATCGAGAGTTTTCTACAACTCTTCGTTGAGAGTTCCTCGATAGAGAAATAGATTACTCCTGAGTTTGTTTCTAAATAATTTCATGATAAAATGAAATGAGATTTTAATGGATTGGTTAAGATGTGCCCGAATGGGATGAAAAATTATCGTCACGGCTATTAAAAGGAAAATATTATAATTAATTATTTAGTTACGGTTTTGCTTTTTAATTTCATATACCTCTTTTAAAATACTTTCAGATTCATGGCGCTCGGCCAGCAGTGAATTTGACGTGGTTCAATTCCTCTACAGTCATTAGTCCCGAAGAAAATGATTTAACCGAAATTAGAACAAAGGCGGTAAGTGAATTAAAGAATTTAACATAAAACTAATTATGAATTGGTTTAAAAAGCTTGCTCAGAAATTTCTTATAAAAAATGCCGAATTAAATGTATTATAACCCCATTTTCTAAGCTGACGTCGATGTTTTTCATAACTTCTTTCATACATATTTGTCCTTTCATAACGCAAATCGTCAGTTCGAGAAGGACGACGGCACGTATCACACGCAGTCGGAGCTTATCTTCAACGCGACACGCTTCGAGAATGACATGATTTTCCGGTGCGATGCGGACAACGTGGTACTGCAGATAAACCGGGAAAAACCATTCACATCATCGTTGACGCTAGAAGTTCTGTGTAAGTTGCACGCAAACGAAAACTACAAAATCAACAACAACAAGAAAATAAGTCCAAACAAATGTTACATAAAACCATTCTCGTGCTTTTTTACATTTCCTATATATAGATCCACCAGTGGTTAAGGTTAGCCCACCCGAGATTACGGTAAACACTAGCGACACTGTGCTGCTCAACTGCGAATATGTTGCAAATCCAGCGTCGCTGACGCAAGTCATGTGGTAAGTGGAAAATTATATTTTATTTGAAAACAAAAATAATTTTAAAAATGGAACTACTCACACAGACACATTTATTTACTTTTAATTTTTAATTGTCTTAAGTCATTTGTTTGCACAACAAAAATAAAAAAATTTAATTGCAATGAAGTCCATTAATGGGTAGCAAATGACAGCGATTACCCGCTGTTGCGCAAATTCACAATGCAACAACTACACAAATACCATAGACAAATAGTTGCAAAATCACACTGCTTTTAAAGTAAAAGCCAGCGCTGGAGTCGTATCCAATGAGGGACAATGCCACACTCCGCACGAGGACAAATATCGATACAGTAAAGTGCAAGCCAATTTAACTAAATTTCCAAATGTAAATAAAAAACTAATTAAAAGCAAATACAAAGGCAACGTTCGCAGGAAGGCATTGTGAAAGCGCAGAAATAGCAGTGCAAATAAAGCAAATGGCAAATCGAAGCGCAAAGCGAATGTCGACAATAAACGCACACAAAGGCACTGTAGCAGGGTTGCATACATTGGTTTGACGATCGAAATTGCGTAAATGCACTAATGCAGCCGCCAATAGCTTGTGCAAACAGCTCTACAACTGAACAATGTTTGTCAGCATCGTAGGGCTGACCAAGCAGCGCACAGCGGGGAACTTGTGTAGTGACAGTCACACAAGAAGTACACTTATAATATGGGCGTGCAATGTGGCATTTTAGGAATCGAGTTGGAATATTCGTGACAAATACCTACCAATACTCTGTTAATGCATAAGCTGAACTCAGCTTAAATCATGAGTATTTATATAAATAGGGTGAACTAAATTTACTACGAGAAAGCGTTGCTATTTTCGAACACCATTTCACACAAATCGGTAAAAATATTTTCAGTAGTTCATTTAGTATTGTTCCGAACGTTCTATGATTTACAGACTAAAGCTTTTGAGGCATTGAAATCGTTCGAATATATAGGTTAAGGAAATCGACTTTTGGGCAAAACTTATTTGTTATTTAACATAGTTGTCATCGACGGAACTACAAAATTTTTGTAGTGTGATTGAACTTTTGTTCCGTACAAGCCTTAGTATTGAGGATTAAAGCTAAACTTATTTTCAAAGTTTTCAACTTTCTGGTCTTATGATCTGATGATAGATGATCGGAGTTCATTATATAAGGGATATGAGGTTAAGACCAAGGTATAGACCAATTCCATTCATATTGAGTGGTAAGCCACATAGGTTCACAGTGGTAAGCCACATAGGTTCAGTGGTAAGCCACATAAGGTTCCTACCTTGTCCATTTAACTTCAGCAAAAGATAACATATTTTGACCAATCTGTACGGTTTAAAGTCAGGTGGAAATTCTATTTTATATGGATGTTCGAAAATCGTGGTATTAGTTATATGGAGGCTAGGTCAAGGTTTCAACCGATTTTATCTATTTTGGGCGCAAAGATACATTGTTATTAGTAAACCAAGTACTCTTGTTTTCACTGAGATAACTATTGGCCGACATATACAAGTATATGTATAAGAGGGGCTTTCATCCGATTCGACCGATTTTTGACATGCAGATATACCGCAATCTGGAAAGAATTTCCTCCGAATTTCAATAACATATCTCATAGATTGTCCCATATTTTCGATAAAAAGTTCGCACTGGGGTCCATATATCAGGCTGCTTGAAAAGTTTTAATCCGATTTTGATAACTTTCGGTCATATTCTGGCACCCTCTAAAGGCAGTATTGATGCAAATATCTAACCCAACACATTAATTTGTGCTTAATTTGTATACTGGAAAGTGAAAAAATCAGATGGAATTTAAAATTGTGTTATATGGGAAATAGGCGGGGTTTTGTCTGATTTCGGCTATTTTCATACTGTAATGTAGAGATTTCAGGGATATATTGCATACTGAATTTGATTTGAAATCAGTCGACTAATTCCCGAGATATGGATTTTCCCTTAAACGTGGGCGAGGCCACTCCCATTGGTCATATTCGACACAGTCTCCTCCTATAAACCTTCTTGTACCATCTCTGGTGTAAAATTGTATGTCTCTGAAGCAATTACTTGTAGTTATGGATTTATCGGGCTCTTAATAGTATATATTTAACGAAACCGTAATATGGGGAGAGGGCGGGGTTATACTCCGATTTCATCCATTTTACCCCTGTTGGCATGGGCTTTTGAAGAATTTGTTTTAGTTAATTTGGTTATTATAACTTTATTGGTTCGGAAGATATGAACATTGAGCTTATCAGAAGGCGAGACCATACCCATTGCTACTATGATTTCCTGTGCCAATTTACAGTTTTATATGTTCATTAGTACTTAATTATGGTATTTTACAGGTTTTCGTTTAATAACGTTTGGTGCTCCACTTTTGCCCGGGAACACGTGTACCAAGTTTCATTAAGATATCTTAATATTTACTCAAGTTACAGCTTGAACAGACAGATGGACGGACAGACAGTCATTTGGATTTCAATTCGTATCGTCATCCTGATCACTTATATATATATAACCCTATATCTTACTCGATAATTTTTAGGTGATACAAAGTTAGGTGAATAAAACTGTTACACTCTGTATCAACATGTTGCAAGAGTAAAAAATCTTAACTTTTTCTTCTAAAATGTCTTCGTCCCAAATGGGAAGATATTAAATTGCATAGAAGCCACTGAACGTGTGATGCACTTGTAAACAACAATCAAATGCTCTAATCGGAAGATGGGAATGTTTATCAACTTGTCGAAAAAATCTAGCCAATAACTATTTTTTGAGAACCATAATTTTTTTTTTCAAATGAAACCTTAATCACAGCATGAAATTCACTGAATTTAAATTTATATTGATATAAGTCTGGAAGAATATTTTGGAGTAAGTGAAAAAGCTCTTAGTCTGTCAGTTATATTGTATTAGTATAGTTAATTATGCTATATGATGATATCGCAATATCTCTCCTTGATAACAATTATATTTTAAACTCACTCTCACTTTTATTTATTTTTATCATATAATATGCTTGAGCCTGAAAATAATGCTTGCATTGCTGGATAACATCCACGTTAATTCACAATTTGTTAAAGAAAATCGCCCTTCCAACTAACAGAGGTGCAAGTGGCGATCTATAATTAATACATATGTATATATAACAAAGCTTCTTCTTCTATATCTGAATAATGTAAATAGTCTCTGCTAGCAAAATAATCTAAAATTCCAAAAATTAATCATTTCTATATATCCAAATATCCTATAGTACGAAAAACGTGCCGAAAGATAATTAGTCCTTGTAATCGCCACACATGTGACTGCCACACATAGACTTTTCGTGACCGAGAAAAAGCACACAAACACACATTCATAAATGTATGCAAAGAACTACTCAATTACCAATAAGGCTAACTGTTAGATTTATGCACACACACATCCATGTAAGTGAATGCATTCATATGTCGTATGTTGTGAAATGCGTTGCATGTTGCACATACATATATTACATTCAAAGAGATGTATTTACGTAGTTGCGGCGCGTCAATGCCTGCAGCAGACCAAAATAAGATATTCAAAGATATCTATTCTAGATCTAGAAAACAAGCGACACCGACACAGGGCGCTTAAGAGGCGCAAGTGAAAAGTAGTTGGAGCGCACACATGCTTTTCTTTCTCGCTTCTGCAGTGTTCCAGCTGTCAGCTTGAGTGCAATTCTTCATTTCGGTATTTTCTCTATTTCAAGCGCCAATTCATAAGTCAAGTCCTGAGGGCGCATCCTTCCTGCTGTTCCTCTAACACAACTGTACTGCCTGCCACAAAAGCAGCGAGATGAAAAGATAGGAGCTTGATTGAAGCACAACTACAACAGCGACATATGTAACAACAAGTAAATATGCATCTTGCCACTGTGGCAGCAGCAGCGCAACGACTTCGCACGCTGATTGTACGCTTGCTTGCTTGGCTGCATCGCCAGTTGGTGTGACTTCATATATGTTGCATGTTTTTATGGTTATTCCTCTTCGCTGCACTCAGCAATGTGGCAGGAGAGCAATGCAATGTTTTGTTGTGTTGATGTTCGGCTTGTTTACAGTTGACAGTTCGGCTAACTAGCAAGTGTAGCATGCAACTTCAACTGTAACAAAAACAAGCCACTTTTGCAATAGTTCAAAGCAAGTGTATGTGCTTACTTGCGAAGCTTTGTGGTAAATATGCGCAGATTTATGCACATGTGCCACTCTGTGCCTGCATGCACTTGCGACGTTAGAATGTTGCATAAATTGCAATTGCCACAAAAGCGCAAATTCTGTATTCAAAAAGCATAAAATTCAACAACTGCAGCATGAACAACAACAATAACAACACGTTTAGCTCATAACAAACTTTCGAATAAGCAAGCAAGGTTGCATCTACAACACCCACTACTTCATTGGCACCCTGGCACTCTGCGCTTTCGGTGGCAATAAACAAACAGATTCTGTAGCTGCCACTTGGATTGCAGCAATTTCATTGTGAGATTACTTATACTCTAACTCTGAGCATGCAAGCATGTGTGTAATTGACTGGTTGGCCCCCCTTTGCGCGAACATCTCTTATTGTTGCCACTACAATCTTGCACCAAAATGTATGATACCAGCACACCAACTGGTCATGTGTGTGTCTGTATGTTTTTAGGTGACATGCGATTTCTTTACATGGCATCGACGGCACAAATATGTCACAGGCATTCTCTTCACATGGCTTTAGTTGTCGCTCAACAAATTCAGCCACCTCACCAGCATCAGTTGCCGCTACCATTCACACTCTTTCTGCACCCCTCCAAAGTGTAACGCACTTGCCTCGTCGACTACTCTGAGAATGCGTAAGAGGTCATATTTGGAAAAACAATAACAGTGTTTGATATAACGACTTTTCAGTTAAGGATCTGAATTACTTGACGGTTGCTAGTGCGGCTCGGATTTCGAAGCTGCAAACATACTTGTACATACATACATACATTTGTAAGAT